AAATAAATACTCCTGAACAGATGGAAAATATATTTGACAATGCATCTAATTCTGATGTGTGTCAGGAGTCAAAGACTCGATGTTCTCAACAATGTTGTCATATCCAAAAGAATCTAATAAAGGGAAATAAATTGGTTTATTACGGATGATATTTGATTTAGGAGGTGTAGTAAGTTCTATAATTCCATTGGTATTAAATCGGTCAGCTGAATCAAAATCTGTTAATGATGAAGCTATTTTGGCATTATCTTTATTATCTCCGCTTTGAAGAAAAAGCAAACAATATTTATTGCAGAAATTAAATGTGGTGCAAAATATGCTAATTCTGATATCACATCAACTTCAACACTAAATTATCATTTAAAGTATTGTCATCAAATTTTAGTTAATCCTGAAGTATGTTTAGATTTTACATTATTTCAAATTTTTTAGAAAATCGATTTAAAACAACCAAAATTAGCAGGTGTGTTTAAAAAAACTAAAGAACATACACAGCACAAGATGAATGAATTACATCTTGCTGTGGCCGAATGGGTTGTATTAGACTCTTTACCTTTAATATGCTACACAGGAAGGTTTTAAAAGATTTATCAAGAAAATAGATCCTAAATTTCGTGTACCAAATATATAAAACAAAAATATCATTGCAGACAAATATCTTTCAATACCTACAACGTCTGTGCCATCTGAAAGACTTTTTAGCAATGTTGGTAATCAAATAACTGCAAAAAGGACTAGATTAAGCTTTGAAATTGTTAACAAAATTTTATTTTAAAAAGAAATTAAATGATTAAAAAATTAAATTTATAATAGTTATTTTACTTTAACTAAATATGGAAATGGTAATTTAAACGGTGCCAATCTCTAGACTATCTTCAAAAAAAATGCCAACACACTAAAAGAAAGTATGACGAAAAGATTAAACAAAAATGAGTTTATCGAAAATATCGATGATAATCCGGGTAACGTTGAATCAGCAATAGAACATGCAAAAAAATTTTTTTGGGTTGTAAATTTTGTTTTTATTAAATAAATTTGTTTGATTTTTTCATACATCATTCATGTTTTGTCTTAATCTTATATCTTAAATTGATTGTGTTTACAATCATTTCGTCAATATTCATTACATTAAGGTTATTTTGATTATATCAAGAGATATGGTCAAGAGAAGAGTTAGGAAGAGAGTTATTCATCAACCAAGTCGAAAACCAACCCTTTTAAATACATTTTCGAGTAATACAATTTAATTTATTAGACTGTTTGAAAGGTTTGTCACATGGTTGCTTCCAACTTCTTAAATTCAAATCATTTGTTAATGTTGTACATATGTGAAATTCAAATTTACATACATGAAATTCAAATTAACCAATCAGAATTTCACCCCACTCCATAATATTTCAATTTCACATACAACATTAATGAAACAATTGTTGGTGAAGTGATTGTTGATGAAATGAATCAAATTTTGGGCTACCAGAACGGTTTCTTGCGATTATATTATATAATTAATAAAAAATGTAATTTTTTCAAATTGAATTTATATATATATATATATATTAATTTTTAATACAATGCGAAATGTTATAAAAAATCAAGATGTACATCGCAATGTGCAATGTTGGGTAGGCTGCGCATCTTGAAACAAGGTTGTGCAATGGTACCCGTTTTACATCGCAATAATTTAAGATCCTGCCTGATGTTAATAGTATTAGTATTATATTAATAATAATATTTTTGGTGACCTGCCGTTTTTTCATTTAATTGAAAAATATATTTTTGGTGACCTGCCGTTTTTTTTATTTAATTGAAAAATATATTTTTGGTGACCTGCCATATTTTATTAATATTAATATTAATATATAAAGAAATTAATTAATTTGAAAAATTGTTTTTTTTATTGCAAGTTTTTTTATCATCATAAGTTTTATTTGTCATAAATTTTTTAAAACTTTTAAGTGAAATATATAATATGAGCCCATTATTATTATACAGAAATTTAAATATTAGAATAAAATATTTAAATCATTATTATAGCAAGTAATAGAGAGAAAGTCATTTATTATTTAAATTGAATTTATAAAAATCACCAGACTTTTTCAATAAGCAAATAATGTTTTTACCATTATGATTGAAAATTTAAATTAACTAAACATTGTATGCTGCAATGCTTGATTAGATGATATCCTATTATTTCTACCTGACACAATTTAAGGATAAGATCTACAATAGTGTCAATATCATTGATGTCATGTCACTTCTAATTGCTCTAAATGTGAAAAAATCTAGGTCACCTTTCATTATATTGTCATAAAGTTCAGTATAATTATTTGATCTTCCTTCCACTCCTTCAATGTGATTATTAACATTCCAAGAATATTGTTTTGACAACATATAGTAATTTACTATCCCAAATGACCAGATATCAATAGATTTGTCATATTCACATTGAGCAGT